TGAAAGCGTTGCCCATTGACAGCTTTAAATGACTTGTTCAAATCAAAAAGCTTATTAAAGGAGCCTCCGTTTATTTAAAAATCAATTCTCGGGTTTTCCAGCAAATTACTTTAATTAGAAGCTTACAAAATTCAATGTTGAAGAAGTGTGGAATAAAAAGCTACGACTCGTCTGGTACGAGTAGTGTTTATCTTTCCTCTCGGTCACTTGGATCATGCCCTTCACTGATGGTCCCCATTTCAGAAATGGCTCAAAAACAGCGATTTACACTGCATCAGCCATGTACTAGTGGCCCTGTGTCACTGCCGATAATAAATGTGTGGACATGTAATTAAGGAAATTGGCCCCTAGAGATCAAAGCCATTGTGATACATCTGACCTGAGGGCTGATGCACTTGCCACGACTGATTATCTCATCCAGAGACAATGACGTTTTATGGAGCAGAACATCCACGTCATAGAGGATTGCTTCAATGATTACAATTAATTTAGGACAACAGGTCATTAAAAAAACGACATTTAGTGAAGGCAACATCAGCCTTATTTTTCCTCTGGGATGTCAGATTTATTTCCGTCACAGATGGACTCAGACACATTTTCCATGTGGCGAGGTTTGACAGCTTTATGTTTCTGCTCCCATGAAATGAAATGTTGCTGTGTCAACATCTCAAGTCGGAACAATGACTCAGAGCACTATGTCTGCTGAACTATAGCGTAAGTGTGCTAGAAATTTGCAAGCACTGACAAATTATGATTTCCTGTAATTATTTAATAAAACTGAGATATTTGGAGAAACTTGCTAGAAAATGACTTCCCTAAGAAATATTCCATTAACAGTGGTAAAGAGAAAACAGCTAGTTGATGTTAAGTTTTTGTTTGGTTTAAAATAAATCACTAATTTCTGGTTTCTTGATGCAGCAGATATTTACTTAATAATTGATGCGTAAAACAAAATATTTTACAGTAATCAGTATTTTAAGGGTTGGAATGATGGTACCTGTTTGGATTCGTGCCTTTCTGTGTTGAGTTTGCATGTTCTCCTTGCCTCTGTGTTGGATTTTCTTCAGGTATCTACTACTACAACACAAACACATGCAGATTAGGAAAGCAGTAAAAATAATGGATGGATAGTGCCTGAAACAATTCTCTTAACTTGTCAATAAATTGTCAATAAATGCCTTGACAATTGCTTTTCCTTGGCTGCTTCATTACAGTCAGAAACAGTTGTCCTGACCCCCTCTATACACTTACCAGTGACATATGACCCAGCAATGGCCTTGTTTCTAGAAGCTGTGAACACATTTTAATGGCTGCAGGCACCACTGCACGGCTCAGCACCCAACGCCCCAACAACAGGTGAAAGGTCTGTTATAGGCACTACATAAAGCCCCTCCAGGCAGATGGTGATCCATATGAGCCCATTGTGAAAGGATATTATGGACCGACACAAAAAATCATGACGGAGGACGTGAGGAGTCACCGGGGAGATTTGGACGTCAAACTGTGATGAAATGTGTCCTTGTCTTTTGTTCTCAGAGGTAATTAAACTCCCTTGGTCCCGTTTGTCCCCTGCGTGGGTCACTGTGAACACAGAAGGATGGTGATGTGCAGATCAATCTTCCCTAGAAAGACGAATTACAGAGTGAGACGTGAGAGGAACAGTGGGGACAGGAGTATTTACAAGAAAGATCAGCGTCAGATCAAAGCAGCAGGGATCGAACGCCGTGCATCGCCGCAGTGGAACATTTACATAGCCGGTACAGCGAGTGGATGTGTACTGTCAGAGGGGAATGGCAGGAGGTTGGGGGAGGAGCGGATGATCTGACAATAGCGTTTTTAAGATGACTCTACGTGCATGTTGATGGGAGATCAGAGCTGCTGTGTTTTCCGAGGGTGGGCTAATGAAACGCAGATGTGGGTCCTGTTTATTTTTATGTGGATTTTCTCTAATGAACAGTTGTGTTAGATTGCATGGTGGTGAATCAGGGCGGCTTACAGGCGACGAAAAGGAGAACTTGATAATAAAGTGGTCGGCACTGTCGCCTCACAGCAAGAAGGTTTGGCCGGGGCCTTTATGCCTGGAGTTTGCTGTTTCCCCTGTGGTTACGTGGGTTTTCTCACTGTCCAGACTTGCAGGTGAGATTAAATGTAGGATCTAAATTGGCCGTAGGTGTGAATGTGAATGTTGTGGGCCACATCGAAGGACTTTTATTTTGGTGTTTTTCTGAAAATGTTAAAATTGACAGTTGACCGATTTGGATGGAAACTCGACTTTTGGGACTTTTGAAAGAAGAAGCAGTAGTTTTTCATTATTCTTTACAAGTTCTATTCACATTCATTCATCGGTTTGGCGAAAAATACTTCAAACCTGGGGAAAGAAATCCAAAAATCAGTTATATCACTGGAGCTACGAAAGAAAATGTGTCATTTGTGTGAAACTTGATATTTGTTATCTGTTGTCTCTGCTGGTACATTCCTATGTTTTTTTATCAATAGTTTCATCTGCTGCGTCTGTATCTGGCTGAGAAAAGCCCAAAACATTCATCAACTCTGCTGCTTTGTGTCCTCTCTAATTTCGTCATTACTAAATTGTTGTCAGCTTGATTTTTTTGTCACTTTTTATTCTTTATCGCCTCTTTGTTTCACAATTACTTCTTCTACTTCTGTGTGCTCCATCGAAACCTTTATTCCCCTCAATAGAGCAGCCTGAATTTGTGGCCGTGTTATGTTCAGCGACCATCTAGGAAGAGCCCCTTAATAGCCCATTTCCCAGGAGAGCACGAGGGGCCATTTACAACAACCATTCATACAGATTGGGAAATGGCTTCAGCTCTCTTTCCCAATAATGAGATAATGCTTGAAGGCGGCAGCACATTCCTTTTCCCGTGTTTGTGTTGTCGAGTGGAGGGATGATTTATGAGCAGGACAATGCGATGAATAAAATGCACATACAATTATGCCGGTTATTGCACGAGTTCAGGCTATTTGGATAAAATTGATGCTGATGAGTGGTTAGAGAGATGCAAAGCATGCTGGTCCTGAAAACACTCAGGTTTGAGGCATAAACAGAACGACATCAATCCCGAATAAAAAAAAAGAAAAGAAAATTAAAGCGTGGGATGGTTGACAAAGGGCTCGGTGGGTTTTAGTGTTGTTAAGTGCTCACTTGGTAATGGCCTCAAGCTCCTGAAGGCAGCCACAGTGTGACTCCTCTCACCCACCTTCAGGTTCACTTTTAATGAGTCCAACAGACTCGTCTTTTCTTACTCCAGCCTGAGCTCAAACACACGTAAGCGTAAGAAGGTGAGTTTGACCGGAGAAGGATCAAGGTTGAAGAGCAGAGATGCACAGCAGCAGTGCAGATAAAGAGCAGAGGGATGGATGGGTGTCTTGTGAGAGGAGGAACTCAAATGGGATTTTCTCTTTTTGTGATTAATAGTTCTTCAGTTCAGTCCTTGAATCATCTGTTTTGGAATGGTTAATGATGTATGGGGCCTAAACTGAACGAAATATAACAGAGTAATGGTTTGATGTTTCAACAGCTGTGTCGTCCTGTTGAGTTTGGATTGTTCTTATTTTGGAGGTTGATTAAACATAAATAAGCCTGAAAACAGTGATTGTAGAATTTCAATAGCTAAGAAACATTTACTATTTGTATCGGGTTAATTATTGTATAACAATTCCGTGTTTATCTCTTAAATCCTTTATGCTAAGAAACAATATAAATATTTACCTTCAAATTTTGTGGCATTGAAATACAAAAAGCATAAAATGGAACCACTGCTCATTTATTGAGTTTATTGACGGGCACATATTTTCCAAACTTTCCGTTGAGGAAAGAATAAAAAAAGGAAAGCAAACATTAGCCTGAGTTTACTACTGCAGATATCAGAGGAAGCCTTTCTGAGCTGGTTATGACAAAAATGTCAAGTGATTACTCCCCTGTTATGAGCTAATGAGAAGCTATCAAAGACAATACCGTCTCGATTACTACATAACCAAGTCAGAAAGGCCACAGTCAGTTTCAAAAGCGTGAAAACCGTGCATGTGACCTTTTAGATATCGGTTTCATTCAGTTATCATTAGCCGAGAACGGCATCATGCCAGAGAGCGAGGCTCTGTTCCTCCACACTTATCAGGGCAAGAGCTTCATCCTCATGTATCTAAGGAGCACAGGGATCAGTGCCGTGGGGTGTTGGCTGGAGCAGATGGAGATTGAATATCTTGCCCAAAGAGCAGCAGTATATTGTCAAGGAGAGCCTGCTTCTCCACTGTCCCCCCCCAAACAGATGGTTCTAATTAGATGGAGAACTCGACTCAGACCTGCATCTGTTCACAAACCCACTTCACACAAACTCACCAACCTTTAGATAAATCCAACTATTGAACAAAGGCAAATGATTACATTTAATTAGCTAAATTGAATTAAGTAAATTCAACTAGATAATTGAATTTATTAACAGGATGCAATTTATGTTTTTATAGTAGAATGAACCCCATGAATCAAACCTCCGAGGTGTTTCTCCTGCTCTTTGGGGAACATTTAGATTTAATTTCCATAAGTAACAGTATCCAGTGGAGGCAATGGTCTATATTGTATCAGGGTATGTAAATTACAGTTATATAAATTATAAAGGTAATAAATTACAGTCCGGTGCACTCACTGTGATCAAGGATGGAGAACAGGAGGTGTGGGGCCCTATAGAAGATGCACACACACACACACACACACACTGAATGAGAAAGAGACCTAAGGAAAGAGAAAGAACGAGGGATATTTAAACACAACCAGCGGAGGTCAGCAGGAAGACACTTGCATTGCTCTGCCCACACACTCCTACATGCTCAACATCATTAAAAACAGAAGGGCATGACTGAAACAAGACTGATGTGTTGGAGTAAGGATTCACAGGAAGACACATGAAGGAGGTAAGTGTGCTTTTATCTCATGGAAATATCAAACACCAGCATTTTCTTTTCAAGATGCTTGGATTGTACCTTAAATTCATGAAAATAGTGTTAGTCATTTCAGATAAAAAGATTTAAGCATCTAGTTTAAAAAAAAAAATCAATATAATCAGAATATTTTTCCTGTCACATTTGTTTTGATGCATGTTTGCCTGAGATCTGCATTAATCTGGTTCTAAAATGAGCTGCACCACCTCTTCAGCTCATTGCGCTGAAAAATATTTGAGGATCTTGCGCCACCCAGTGGGCTGGACCATATCCAAATGATGACAAAAACAAGCATCAAAGGAATTCATTGTTAAGTTTATTTCAGGTTTTTAAAACTGTGGTATTTTCTTGTTTGACATAAGAGCGAAGGATGATGGGACTAAATATCTTTTTTTTTTATTCACCCCATCTCTAATTTTAGAAGACCAAGCTCGCTGTCAGTCAAAGATGCCACTTGTCGATGTTTCAGAGCTTCGGGCCCTGCACAGGTCACCTCGTCCAGAAAGAATACGTTTTCAGGATGGGCATTCAGCCACTTCTTCAGAAACTCAATCTTCTCATCACACACCCAGGGGTTCAATGATAAGATTACCATAAAAGAGGATCCCCCCTCATCCAGAAAACCCAAGGGGAGATACTGCAGCCGATTCTGATTCAGCAGCAGATGCTCAAGGTTTTGGAGACCCTGGAGGAGGGTTGCTGGCAGATCTCGGAGTTGATTCTCCTGCAGGAAAAGATGGGATAGTTTCAGGTTGTGGCTGAAAGTAGCAGGTTTCAGGGAGGTCAACTGGTTCCTGGCGAGGTTCAGCGTCTCCAGGTGGTGCAGGTTTGTCAGGGCGTCAGGTTGTAGCTCCTGCAGATTGTTATTGCTCAAGTCAAGGCTCTGGAGATGAGACAGCTTCAGGAGCAGAGCAGACGGGATGCCGGTTAAAAGATTCCCAGACAAGTCCAACCACCTCACACTGCTGTTGACGGAGAACCACTCGGCGTCAACTTTTTCTATCCGATTATTCTTCAGCACCAGATTATGGAGTGAGGCGTGGCTAAAAATGTTGGGAGGCAGGTGAACGAGCTGATTCCCAGTGAGATCTAATGTGTTCAAGCGAGGAACCCCCTTCAGCAGATCTGGTGGGAGGCTTGTCAGGTTGTTGTGATAGAGCTGGAGGTTGTTTAAAAGGGGAACCATGCTGAGATGATGGGCAGTAACAGCGGCGAGGCCGGTGGACTGGATGGAAAGTTGGGTGGTGTTGGGAGACAAACCGTCGACAGGGAAACGTGTGAGGGAGCTTTGGCCACAAAACACCTCTGTTGTACGAACCGAGCAGGAGCAGAGATCCGGGCAGGAGTAATGGCATTCAGCCAGGGCAGCAAGAGTCAGGAGCAGCCACAAGTTCATCTTTAACACTGCAGAGAGAACAGATACACACATCATTCATATTTAAAATCATCACATTGTAAAAATCATGATCTCAAATGCATGAACCTACCTGACGGGGAAAAGCAGAACTCCCTCTGTTTTGGACGTGGACTCGTTTTATTTGTTATGTCGAGTACATGTGACTCAGAACATAAAATGTTGCAAGAGGCAAACAAAGTCAATAGCAAATAAACCAGCTCATCAAGTGGTGGGCAGTTCACTTTTCTCTGTACTTTCTAAAAGTACCACACACAAATCAATATTTTGTTTTTGCAGGAATTTTCCACGTCGTTTAAATGTTTCCCTTTAATCCACTTTCATATTCTCTTGTCAGGATTTTATTTTTAATTTCCTGGAACTACCTTCTGATCAGGGTCCTCACTAAAATGGAGTTCTTCCCTGACTGATAACACATCCTTCCACCCAGTTTCGTGGAAATCTGTCCCTTAGTTTCTGCGTAATCCTGCTAAATAACAGACAAATGCAGTTAAAAACATTGTGGATCAGAGGCTGTAAAAGTATTGCTTCATGTTTACGGCTCGTATAGATGGTTTAAATCTTCAAACACGTTTTTGGCGATAGAGTGAAAAAGATAATTTCCAAAACCAATGTGTTACAACTCTTTGTATCTGCAAGTGAAGTGCAAACAAAGCCACAATCATATCTGTTTTACTCACATCATATTTAATTATTCAGTTATTAAAATGTGTGACAGTTGTGACAGGCTGAACTGTGAACTTCACCACATCAGATAATAACCAACACGACGATGGAAACTGTTAAGACTGAAGATTTAGTTCACTTGCAGTCAGCGACATAACCAACCGCCCCGATAAAGACGGAGGTGAAGCACATATGATGGTCTGTGGCAGGAACAGCTTCTTCTTGTTCTTCTGCAGCCACCTCCACAGGTACTCCACCTTCCCATCACACTGCCAGGGGTTGGAGGTCAGATCCAGACCATCCTCGTCCAAGGAGCTCAGCTGGTCCAGAGAACCTGGAGGGATGTGGCTCAGCTGGTTGTCGTCCAGACTCAGGACCCTGAGTTCAGTGAGCTCCTGAAACAGCTTTGGGGGGATCTTGTTGAGCTTGTTGCGAGAGAGGAACAGGTAGGTGAGGTTGCGGCTGCTCTCGAGTACAGATGCATCCAGGGTTTCTAGTTTGTTGTCCTGCAGGTTCAGCCTCTCCAGTTTGGTGAGCTTGTCCAGAGAGTTTGCAGAGATCATCTCCAGACGGTTGTTGGAGAGGTCGAGACTCTCGAGCTGCGGCAGCTTCTGGAGCAGAACACTTGGGACCTTTCTTATTAGATTTCCAGATAAATCCAACCAGGTGAGAGTGCTGTTATCAGGAAGCCACTCTGCATCCACTTTCTCAATCAGATTATCCTTCAGCACCAGGCTGCGGAGTGGAGCGTGGCTGAAGACGTTGGCGGGCAGCTCGGCCAGTTTGTTTCCCGTCAGATCCAAAGTGTGGAGGTGAGGAACACCCCTGAGGAGATCGGGGGGAAGATGCTGCAGGTGGTTGCTGAACATGTGGAGCTCCTGCAGCAGGGGCGTGACGTCCAGGTGCCTCTCGGAGATGGAGGTGATGTTGGTCAACTGGATCGTGAGCATGGTGGTGTTCCTCAGGAGACCCTCGGAGGGGAACTCCGTCAGGGGAACCTCGTTACAGACCACCTCAGCTCTTCTGGTGTAACACTTGCAAAGAGCTGGGCAGGAGAGGGCACCATGGCAGAAGTATGCCAAGCAAAGGAGAGCGAAGAGGGCGTTCATCACTGAGACACAAGACAGAGAGGATGCAGAGAATTAAATATTAAGCAGACGGCACGTTTGGAAAACTTAAATATCTCCCTGACGGATTGCACCACTGCAACAATAAATTAAGTACAAGTGACGTCATTTCCAGGTCATGCACATGATACACGAGTAACGAAATTAAACTTACCGTCTTCTCTTCTAGTTGAATCTGTATCAGCCGGTCTGCTCCTTACATCAGATTCAGCAGCGCTCACTTGCAAATTACTGGGGGCTCAGAATCCCCCCCCCCAGTCTAATCATTACTCACTGAGCAAACACTGACCCGTCACTACACAGACATTTGTCAAGGACATGCAGTTGCAACAGAGTGAGTGACTAACCTGAAGGGCAAGTACAAAAGCTGGATTGTGATTTTGCCATTTCAGCTTTAAAAACGGCTGATTTGAGAATATCAAGTTTTAAACTTTACTGCGAACATATGTGAGCGATGGTTTTTCTGAGTGAAACACTTTAAGTCAGATGTTTACAATAATTTCTTCTTTGGATTCTTCTACAGAGGCAGCGAGGGAGAGCGAGCGTGTGGGAAAGAAGCGGAAATGCATGATCATCAGTTTAAAATCAGGTGTATTGGATTTATTTTGCTAAAAATTAGATTCATCATCAGAAAAGCTACTTCGAGACTTGAGGTGTTGGCTCAGCAGAAATAAATTATTCACTGTGCCCAGATGCAAACAGTTAAAGTCGCATGGCTTAGTTATATATAGCAGGGAGTGGACAGTATGGAACCAAGGAACACACACATATATATATATATATATATCTTCAGTAAACGTATTTATACAATAATGTGAAAACAACACAAGTAAAACAAATCATATAGAATAAAAATTGCATCTATGAATGTGTGTATTCTATTAGAATAAGAACAAACTTTTTTTATAAACTTATAAACTACTCTTGCCAAATAAACATCGATTGAAAGTGTAGAAAAATAACGTAAAAGACAACATTCAAGTTCCTTAAAGATACTTTCAAGGAATGTAGAATTGCTCCATTATGAGTAAAAGTCCCAAATTTAAATGTTATTTAGGTAAAAATATATAAGTAGCAGGTAGTTTAATCTATAACAGTGCATCATATTTCGTAAACTTACCCCATGTTTGGTATGTAAACTTTTAATCCACGTAAACTCCAGCTCTAAAAGAAATGTAGAATAGAAAGAAGAATTTTCAATCAAATGTAAACATGAAGTATAAAACAGCGAAATAAGAAAATACATGAAATAATACATTCAAGTAAGAACATTAAGGTCAAACTTGTACATGCATTCAATGTTTAGATTTAAATCACGACAGTAAATTGTTTGAATTGTAAATGAAGAGACTTCACGATGAGGAGGAACAGCAGCAGAAGGCTTCGTGCCACCTGAGGTCACACTGGTCAGCACAGTGGGTTTCACGCCAGCTGATACAGAGAATGGATTGGACCTGCAGTGAGAATTTAGCAGATGGGCAACACGATGAACCGCCATACATAATGTATGACGAGTGCCAGTTAGCTTTAGGCTGTTCTGAAAGATTTATTTCAGTCAGGCCCACTCACTCCACATGCAGCACTGAGCTACAGACAAAACTATGCAGCAATACTTCAAACTCCCGAAACATATACTGCATTCACATATACCTGCTACATTACTAGTAGTGTTATTTATACAATTAGGATACTTATGTAGTATAATTATTTGTAGATATAACACATATGTACTGTATATATTGATACACATATACATGCATACAAATATATACATAATATACACACACGTCTAAACACACAGAGCAAAAATAAACCGTTCAACAGCTCTTTGAAATAAAGTGAGGATCGGCCAAAATGCGCTCACTCCGTAAGGTCTGTGCGCAAAATGGTCCTCACAATGATATAAGTTCCACACTCAAACACACATTGTATACACTGCATTTCCTCTTTTGATTCTGTCTCGACGCTGGAGGGAAAATTGTTGTGTGAAATTCAGTCGAAAAGCTTCAAGATGAGACGTCAAGACACAAAAGAAAGCGTCAGACTCACTGTCTGCGGCGCTGCAAGTCATGTTCTTCTTCAACATCAACATATTCGAAAGGACACATGATATTTCAACACAAATAAAAACATGAATCCTCCATTTTCAGGGTAACAGAGTTTATTTGAATTTGTCATGGATGTTAAGAAAAAAATAGCACATCATCTCTGTTCAGTTCACATTATTCTGTCTTTACGTCTTAACGGGATCTATTTAGTATTTAGCGTCGTCAGGTGTGTCCAAGAAATTCAAGAGTCATAATGATGTAAAATCTTCCATTCAGCAAAACTGTAGTCATACATCTACAGCACAAGCCATGTTCTGTATAATGTGCTGCAGCCATATCCACAAAAATAAAACAACCACATACTAGGAGCTACACAGACGTCTCCATCCTCTGTACAAATGATCTCACACACACACACACAAACACACACCTGACACTTCACAATTCCACTGCATCTGACAGAATAATATTTTTTATGTCATGATTATTATAAAACAAGGCTTTTCTTTTTTCACTTCTTCTTTGGATGAAGTCTCACTGTAACACGTTACCAAGAGATTATGCTCATTTTCCTCTGGTTAAATTGACAAACGGTCCCAGTTCTCATGACGACGGCCGGCCTCTGAATGTTTCCTCTCCACGATTAGCATTTATTTATTTATTTCTCAGTCTTTCAGTCAATCTTTGATCAGCCAGGGTTAACTGTGAAGAGAGAGACAGAGTGATATGACAACCTGGGAGGCTGCTGCAAACACACGGCCACACAAAAACCACACATATGAAACGAGGGAGCAGTTCACACGGTGCATGAGGAGAATGGGCTCGACCACGTAAGGGAATAATCGTATGTTTGCAAGAAGTCAAGTATGAAACCAGATTACTTTTACAAACACTGAGTTCATGATTTACACTACGCTGCAAATTTGAAGATCACACACAAAAAAACATGCTTGTTTCTACATTAAGGCGTCGACACACTGCAAACACACTGGATCCATGCAGAGGAGCAGTTACCCTCTGTCCCCCCCTCTTTCACTTCTTCAGGAGAATATATCATCATCATCATCATCATCATTATCGACATCATCCAACGACCAACTCCAATCTCTCAGGCCAAACTCAAGCAATCTGAAAGAGTAATGAAGGTCACCGAGGGGTCAGGAGCCTCATAATGTCTAGAGGGCAATGTCTTCCATGTTCACCAGGGGGCAGTATGGAGCTGTGAGGTGACTAAATGCATGTTACGAGGAGGGGGTTAACAGGCACAACAGCACGGCACTATGGTGGACGGGCGGGTGAGCAGGCGGACACACACACACACACACACACACACAACTTTCTGCTACTTACAGTCTCCCAGCATGAGAGACGTTAGAAAGGTGGGGTCAGAGGTGAAGAGGTCAGGGGTCAGTGGAGGATGATGCGGAGCATGGGGCCAGTGCTGGGGGAGGAGAGTCAGGGTGTGGCTGAGAGGGCAAACTTTGACAAACTGAGACTTAGTCACAGAAACAGTTAGTACCTCTCACTCTGATGGTTTCTATTCGATTAGGTGGCAACTGACGCTGAGTGGGGGGGGGGTTATGCAATGTTTAATGAAAATCATATGTCAGTTGTTAAGTCACGTTAAACTAGAGAGGATAGAGAAACAACAAATAAACAAGTCGTTAGCTTGTGTTTTAACCTCTGTCCATTCGGAGGAGCCTATTTGGATTTTGACTATATTAAACAAGGCGAGATCATAGACTGTTTCTAAACATGGAAATAATGGAGCCCATAAAGTGAAGTGTTATAGACGCAGCAGTTTGTCATCCACACTGAGGTCGTGCGCTGCGTGAGAGCAACAAAAGCTGCGTTCACACGCGCACGGCAACCCGGAACGCTTTCAAACATTAGCCGGAGGAGCTGAGAAAACGTCTGAATCAGCTGAACCGGACTTTAGAACAAAAGTTGAAGGTCCGCAAAGTTCATGACACGTCTGATTGAGCTGATGTGCAAAAAGATAAAGGACTAAAAGTGGCTGACACTCGACAGAATGCAAATATGAAGCGATGACTGATGATAACAAGCGTGATAATTAGCATACAGCAGTTCACGCCTCAGCTTTGCACGTTGATGATTCACAGTCGGGCCACAAATTAGGATCTGACCTGCTTTTCTGTTTTCATTATATAAAATAAGATTTCTCATTAGATTAGCTCAGATTTTCAATTTCATTTTTTATCCATATCCTTCTTGCTGCAAAATTAAAAAGTGATCAGGACCATTTACAGTTCATTAGGTCGTCTTGTGATGGTAACAGCTCAGAAAATGATTCCAATTAGTATAAAACACAAATGAAAAGCTGATGAGCTCCACAGAACACACTTAGAATAACATTTTCTCTAAATATTCTCTTTAAAAGTCACATTTAAAATGTTGCATTCAAGCAGAAATGAAAGAAAGCCTCTGGAAAACTGAACGGATGAATGACACACACCATCTTCTCATTGATTCATTCATTGAGTGTGTGAGCAGCTTTTTGACATTGTTTGCACAATCTTACAAAAAACACTGGTTTAATATTGTTATATGAATATATTGAGATTTTGAATTGGAAGAAAACATTGTTTTGTGGTTTGAATTAAAACTAAAGTATGAAAGCAAAAAAACTGCTTCTTCAATCGTTTAAATTTGGGGGTGAAAGTCTGAAATATTTTCTGTGTTCACTCTCCGCAGCGTCTTACCTGGTCTTCCCTGACGACTGCTGCTGTCTGCTGGGCTGGATCTTTATGGCTCCACGGTGGGACGAGAGATGAGGAGAACCCCTGGGTGACGGCCGCGGTGAGTTCCGTGGGGAGGGGCGTGACGTGGCTTCAGGCGGGCTGTTTGGCACGGCAGAGGGAGGACTCATCGTCGGATGTTTCCTCGGGATGCGTTTGAGGAGGTGACTGACCCAGCGTTGCTGCTCCTCCTGTGAGTTGCTCAGCAGGAGCAGCTCTTTGGCGGTGGACATGTCATAGTTCACTGAAAAAAAAAAAGACCAGGAAATATTTAGACAAATATCAAAAACACAAATATACAGCGTGCACCAAATCAGCGCCACTGACCCTTGCACGGCACGATAACTTCCTCCTTTCTGTCCAGGTGGTCTTTGTGGCACTTGGTGTGGCAGCGGCGGCACTCGAGGGCGGGCGGGGGTTTGAAGACGTGCCACAGCGGCCGAGTGCAGGCCTCGCAGCTGGAGGGGAAGTGATAGAGCGTGAGGATGAACTCGTGGCCCTTG